GCAGCAGCAGCAGCAGCAGCAGCAGCAAACCTCTGTCTACGAGTTCTAGCACTTCATTGCAGATTTGTTCTGTCTCTTGTTCGATCTCTCGCCGGTAGCTCAAAAGCCTTTCCTAAACAAATAAATAAATAAATAAATAAATAAATAAATAAATAAATAAATAAATAAATGAATAATAAATAAATAAATAAATAAAATAAATAAATAAGTAAATAATAGTAAATTAATAATAGTAATTAAATAATAAGGAAAAATGAAAATAAGAAGTGGAGAAATGGCGAAAGAGCGACGAGAAAAACAAAAAATAAAACAAAAAGGAATGAAAGAATTTTAAAAATAAAAATAAAAAGAAAAAGAAAAAAGAAAAAAAGAAAAAGGAAAAAAAAGAAAGAAGAGACAAAGAGAAGGACAAAAAGGAAGGAAAAGAAAAGAAGAAAAAAGGAGAAAAAGGAAATAAAAAAGATTCAAAAAAAGAAGAAAAGAAACAAAAAAGGACAAAAAAGAAAAATAAAAATAAAAGGAGACAAAAGAAGACGAGAAAGAAAACAAAAAGAAAAAAAAGAAACAAAAATGGGAAATGCCAAAATAAAAACAAAAAGAGACAAAAAGAATAAAAAAACAAAAAAGTGGAAAAAGAAAACCAAAAAAGATAAAAAAGAAGAACAAAACGGAGGACAAAAAGGAGGACAAAAAGGAGAATTAAAAGAGACAAAAAAGGAGAAAAAGAATTCAAAAGTTTGAAATGTTTAAAATGATTTAAAATGTTTTAAAACTTTTAAAAGTTTAAAAAGTTTTAAAACTTTTAAAGTTTTAAAAGTTTTAAAACTGACAGGAATTGGATTTCCTGTCTCGAGGCCTTTGGATTCGATTCCGCTGATGTTTCTCCAGGTGTTTCGACAGCTGGTGATCTTTTGTTTGTAACCAACTGCGGAAAAAAGGAGACAAAAAAAGAAACAATTCGGAAACTAATTATCCTTTTTCAAAAAGAGTTAGATAGTTTTGAAGATCTTTTTCTCCTTCATCTTCTGGTTTAAAAATAAAAGAAAAAGAATAAACAGTTTTCGAGAAAATCGAGAAAGAAAAATACATGCAAAGTAATGCATGCACTGCGCTTAAATCCCCGGTTTATTTCATTTAATTTTTCATTTGTTTCATTTTATTCGTTGTTTTAATCTCTAATTCTCTTGTTTTATTCATTTTATTTGTTTTATTTATTTATTTATTTGTTATTTTATTTATTATTTTATTTTATTTTATTTATTTTATTGTAAATTTGTTTACGAGAAAATAGAGTGGCTTCGTCTCTCGTGAGGCCCTTCTTCTCCGCAACAACTTCTTTCATTATCTTAATCTGAAGATAAAAATGAATAATAAATAAATAAATAAATAAATAAATAAATAAATAAATAAATAAATAAATAAATAATAATTAACAGAGAAATAGATAAGTAAATAAACAATTAATTAATAATAAAATAACTGATTAATTGAGTGAAGAAAAAGGAAAAGAATTGAAAAAGAAGTAAAGAAAGAAATTACAAAAAAGGGTTTTAAGAGAAACAGAAAAAAGACAAAAACAAAAACGACAAATAAAAGGAAAATAAAAAAAAGACAAATTGAAAAAGAAAAAGAAAAAAAGTAAAGATTAGAAACAAATAAAAAGATAAATAAAGAGAAAATAAAGGAATAAATGCAAACAAATAAAGCGACAAATAGAGAAATAAATAAAAAGATAATAAAGGGATAAATAAAAAGATAATAAAGAGATAAATAAAAAGATAATAAAGAGATAAATAAAAAGATAACAAAGAGATAAATAAAAAATAAATAAAAAGAAAAATAAATAAATAAATGCAAAGGAAAATAAAGAGATAAACAAAAAGATAAAAAAATTAGTAAAAAGGTAATAAAGAGATAAACAAAAAGATAATAAAGAGATAATAAAGAGATGAATAAAAAGTCAAAAAAAAGATAAATAAAAAGATAAAAAAAGGCAAATAAAGAAACAAATAAAAAGATAAATGAAATGATAAAAAGAAAAAAGACAAATAGAAAGTCGAAAGAAGTCAAATAAACGTCCAAAAAGCGAAAAATAAAATCTCCAAAAAAGATAAATAAAAGACCAAATAAAGAAACAAATAAGGAGATAAATAAGGAGAAAAATAAAAGCAAAAAGAACCAAAAAAGAATAAAAAAAGAATCAAAAAAGAATAAAAAAAGAATTAAAAAAGAATTAAAAAAGAATTAAAAAAGAAATTAATTTAAATAAAATTGCCCACAACATCGTCAGATCTTTCCGTCTCCTGCGCCACGCTGGCGACATAAACCAAATCTTCTCTTGTCATTTTCCTGAAAATAAAATATTTATTTATTTATTTATTTATTTATTTATTTATTTATTTATTTATTTATTTGTTTGTTTATTTGTTTGTTTGTTTGTTTATTTAATTGATTAATTAATTTGTTTGTTTATTATTTGATTTGTTTATTTGTTTTTTGTTTTTTTGTTTTGTCAAGAAAGAAACTCGCGAAAAGGTCTTTTTCTCTTTTTCTGTTTTTTCCTTTTTTATTTTAAAAATAAATAAATAAATAAATAAATTAATTAATTCTAATTACTTAATTACAATTAGTTTACTTAATTAATCTATTTATTTTTTTATTTATTTATTTATTTATTTATTTATTTATTTATTTATTTAAATGAAGTAATATATATACAGTATTTGTCTTTGTCGCATTTAAACTAAAAAGACAGCAGCAAATCTTTTTTAATTTCTTTTTCTTTTTTATTTCTTTTCCTTTTATTTCTTTTCTTTTTATTTTATTTGTTTCTTTCTTCTTCTGTCTTTAATTCTTTCTATTTCTTTTATTTCTTTTATTTCTTTTTATTTCTTTAATTTCTTTTAATTTCTTTAATTTCTTTAATTTCTTTTAATTTCTTTAATTTCTTTAATTTCTTTAATCTTTAATTTCTTTAATTTCTTTTTGTCTTCTTTTGTTCTTCAAGTGGCTCCAGAGGCTTCGTCTGCTGTCTCGTTTGGATTTTTTTGGGGTTTGCTGCAGCAGCAGCGAAACCCTAATTTAGGGTTTGGGGCGAGCTGCTGCTGCTGCTGCTGCTGCTGCTGCAGCTCGTGCTGCAGCCAGAGCAGCAGCTTTCTTTCTTTTTATTTTCCAGTTAAATTCTTTTCAATTTAAATTTAATTTCGAAGTTGCGGTGTCTGGCGATCTCGCGCTGCTTCGCGCTGCAGCTGCGGTGTACAGACACCCGAGGGTTTAGGGTTTAGGGTTTAGGGTTTGGAGAGCGGCTCCCGTTTCGCCTGTGCGCGGCCCAGAACGCGGCCGCCAAGCTTGCTGCGCTGCGCTAGGGTTTAGGGTTTAGGGTTTAGGGTTTGCGAAGCAGCAAAATAGATTTGTTTCTCTTTTCCTTTAGAGGGCGCTTTGGGGGCGTGGGTGCGGAGTGCAGCTTCCGGGTGTATATACAGCTCCCCCCGCAAATTACCTGCTCGGTTTCGTTCCTTTAAGGGATATAAATGACTTTTAATCTTTTTGTTTCGCAAATTCGAAAATAATAAAGTAAAAGCAGCAAAAAGGAACAAGTTGGCTGCACAAGCAGCAGCAGCAGCAGCAGCAGGCAGCTGCTGCACTGCGGCGCCGCCGCAGCAGCGGCTGCGGTCCTCCCACGCGCCCCGCGGCCGTTTTTCGCAATTTTTTAAAAATTAAAATCAAATTTATTTCTTTTGTTTTTTATTTCACTTTAAAAGAACTAAAAATGCGGCGAAATGGCCCCTGAGTCCGCGCGCGCCGCCACCCGCGAGCTGTACGTACACCCCGGCGGGTCACTTCGCCGGCGCTCAGGTGTACGTGCAGCTCAAAACGAAACGAAATCGCCGCAAACGAAAGGAAAACTTCAGTTAAAAGTAATTTTTATGTTTTTTATTCTTTTAATTATAAAAAAAGCTCCAAAAAAAGGGCCGATAGACCCTTTTGCTGCTCCCCAGCCGCGGGGCCGCTGCTGCTGCTGCCAGTACTGCAGTCAGCCTAAATGGCTCTTCAATGCAAATGAATTAATTGCCAAACAAATTATTTATTTAATTTTTATTTGCTGTTTGTTTATTTCCAACTTTAATTAAAAGAAATTATTTATTTAATTGTTTTTCATTTTTTGTTTATTTCAAACTTCATTTCACCAAATAATTCCATTTGACGATGCGCGACTAAATAAAAACATAAAAAGAAATAAATGAAATTATTGAAATCTAAAGATGAAATAAATAAAGGAATTAATTTAAATATAATAAGACGAAGAATAAAAGAAATTATGTAAATCCAGCAGCAGCAGCTGCAGCAGCAGCAGCAGCAGCAGCTGCAGCAGCAGCTGCAGCACCAGTAGCAACAGCAACAGCAGCACCAGTAGCAACAGCAACAGCAGCACCAGTAGCAACAGCAGCAGCAGCACCAGTAGCAACAGCAGCAGCGGCAGCAGCAGTAGCCACAGCAGCAGCAGCAGCACCAGTAGCAACAGCAGCAGCAGCAGCACCACTTGCAACAGCAGCAGCAGCAGCAGCAGCAGCGCAAACAGAACTGCAGCAAATCCTAAAAAGCAATAAAGCATAAATAAACACTCGAGTTATAAAAAGCTAGCTCCTAAAAAAGTTCACGGCAGAGGCTGCAGACCCTGCGAGGCCTCATTTGCTGCTGCTGCAGCAGCAGCAGCAGCTGCTGCTGCTGCTGCCGGTTCGGCCGCAGCCTCTCCTGCTGCTGTTGCTGCTGCTGGGGCTACTGTGGCAGCAGCAGCTGGGGCTGCTGCTGCTGCTGCTGCTGCTGCTGCAGGTCTTTGCTGCCTAAGAAAGGCGGAAGTAAAAAGAGAAGGAGCAGCAGCAGCAGCGCGAGCTGTCTGTACACCTGGAGATGCGCCGATGTCCCTTTTGCTGCTGTTTGTCTCCTCCTAAAAAAACAAATTTAAATTCTTTTTCATTTAATTGCTGCTTATTTATTTACTGCTTTTGCTGCTGTTACATGCTCATTTACTTTTCATTTTATTTTAGAAAAACCAGTAGCAGCAGCAGCAGCAGCAGTGGCAGCAGCAGCAGCAGCAGTGGCAGCAGCAGCAGCAGCAGTGGCAGCAGCAGCACAGCAGCAGCAGTAACAGCAGCAGCAGCAAGAGTGCGACTTGCCTCCATTGGGTCCTCATCTACTGCTGGGTCGCGCAACTGCTGCTGCTGCTGCACCTGCTGCTGCTGCTGCTGCTGCTGCTGCTGCTGCTGCTGCTGCTCTTCGGAGACTGTGGGGCTTTTGCCCCGCCTGGTTGCCCGCGGCAGCGCGCAGCTGTCTCCTTCATAAGCAGAGCGAACAAGAGCAGCACTATCAGCAGCAGCAGCAGCAGCTGCTGCTGCTGCTGCTGCTGCAGGGCTGCTGCAGTTTGCTGCTGCTGTTGCTGCTGCAGCAGGAAAGCGGTGCAGCTCAGCAGCAAAACGCTTCAGCTGAAACGCCGTCACTGGCAGCGGCAAAAACCTAAAATAAATAAATAAATAAATAAATAAATAATAAATAAATAAATAAATAAATAAATAAATAAATAAATAAATAAATAATGAATAATTAAATAAATGAAACAAATAAATAAAAATAAATATATGGTAGTAAACGAAAACAGATAAATCAGAACAAACAAGCTGACCTTCTCTTTCGATGCTCTGGGCTTTCAAGGGTTTAGGGTTTAGGGTTTAGGGTTTAGGGTTTGTTTACGACTACAAACCCTAAACCCTCGAAAACCCCGGCAGCGAGAACAAACAGCAGAAACTAAACTAAACCACCAAACAAACAAATTTAATTTAATTTAATTTAATTTAATTAATCTAATTAATTTAATTTAATTTATTTTATTTATTTAATTTAATTTAATTAATTTAATTTAAATTAATTAAATTAAATTAATAAAATAAAACTCACCAACGAATGCCAAAGGGGCCCCCAAAGACTTCCTGCAGCAGCTGAGTTTTGGACTTTTTGTCATTTTTAATTTTCTTCATTCTGTCAATTCCTAAAATAAATAAATAAATAAATAAATAAATAAATAAATAAATAAATAAATAAATAAATAAATAAATAAATAAATAAATAAATAAATAAATGAATAAATAATTGCTTTAGGGTTTACAGCTGAAGAGCTAGGGTTTAGCGTTTAGCGCTCACAGCTAGGGTTTAGGGTTTGAAGCTAGGGTTTAGGGTTTGAAGCTAGGGTTTAGCGTTTAAAGCTAGGGTCTAGGGTTTGACGCTAGGGTTTAGGGTTTAAAGCAAGGGTTTAGGAATGCCAATATACCAGAGGCTTAAGGTTTAAAGCTAGGGTTTAGGGTTTACCGACAAAGGGTTTAGGGTTTAGGGTTTAGGGTTTAGGGTTTAGAGCTAGAGGCAGCGGCTTCAGGCCGCAGAGTTTAGAACTTAGGGTTTGGAGTGCGGGCCCAAAAGACTCCCCAAACCCTAAACTGTTCTCTAGGGCTTGAGGCCTAGGGTTTAGGGTTTAGGGTTTAGGGTTTAGGGTTTAGGGTTTGCCTGTGGTGTTGGAGAGGATGCAGCTGATTTGGTCAATGAACATAACCACCGTGAAAAGGCCGAAGATGAAAGCCAGCATAAATGTGAGCTGCAAACAAAAAATAAAAGAAATAAATAAATAAATAAATAAATAAATAAATAAATAAATAAATAAATAAATAAATAAATAAATAAATAATAAATAATTAAATAAAATAAATATATAATAAATAAATAAATTGCCACAAAAGACTTACTGCTCCGCAAATGGCCGAGTGGAGGCTCACTTCGCACTGCGCATACACCCCAAAACCACAAACTAGGGTTTAGGGTTTAGGGTTTAGGGTTTAGGGTTTAGGGTTTAAGAACTACTCTAGGCTCTCGAGTTAATATGCGAAGCAAAGAAAGCAAATAAACAGGAGGAAAAAAGCAGTGCCTCTAGGGTTTAAGGTTTAGGGTTTGGGGTTTAGGGTTTGGGGTTTAGGGTTTAGGGTTTAGGGTTTAGGGTTTACGAGGAAGTGCCTCCTGGGTCTCCTGTGGCTAGAATGGAAATAAGAGGTTTGGTGGGGGGCCCCCAGGGGGCCCCCCGAACCCCAGAAGGAGTTTTTGTCTCCGTTTGCTGCTGCTGCTGCTGCTGCTGCTCTCCCGAGTCTGCTGAGGGGGTCTTCAGCAGCAGCAAAATAAAAACCATTAACAGCAGCATCAGCAAAACCATCAGCAGCAGCAAGAAGCCTCGGGGGGCCCCCCGTGTCTTCAGCAAGTCCGTAGAAGTCTGCTGCTGCTGCTGCTGCTGCTGCTGCGTCGTAGTCGCTCTCTGCGGCTTCCTCCGCTGCTGCAGCTTCTTCTGCTGCTGCTGCTTCTGCTGCTGCAGCAGCAGCAGCAGCAGCAGACATCCCCGCCAGCCTCTCCGCCACCCCTCCCTCTTGGGGGGCCCCCAGGGGCCCCTCCTCCCCCAGGGGGCCCCCCGGGGCCCCCTCCTCCAGGGGGCCCCCCAGGGGGCCCCCCAAGGGGGCCCCCAGGGGGGCCCCCAGGGGGGCCCCCAGGGGGGCCCCCAGGGGGCCCCCAGGGGGGCCCCCCGAAGGGTCTTCTTGGGGTTCTCCGAACTGCAAAGCTTTCCAACGTTTGAAAGCAGCAGGCGAGGGTTTAGCGTCTGGGGGCGGGGTGTAGTGGGCGGGGTCAGCAGCAGCAGCAGCAGGAGCAGCAGCAGCAGCAGCAGCAGGAGCAGCAGCAGCAGCAGCAGCAGCAGCAGCAGGCAGCCAGGGCTCCTGCTGCTGCTCCAAACCCTCAGTGTTTACACAAGTGACAACTCGAGAGACCAAAACCACAAAAGCGCAGAGACACATGAGGTGTACGTACACCAGAAACAGCAAAAAGTACTTCTGGTTCAAAAAGCCCACGCAGTTGTTTATCCACGGACCTGCAGCAGCAGCAGCAGCAGCAGCAGCAGCAGCAGCAGCAGCAGCAGCAGCAGCAGCAGCAGCAGCAGCAGCAGCAGCAGCAGCTGCAGCAGCAGCAGCAGCAGCAGCGGCAGCGGCAGCAGCAGCGGCAGCGGCGCACGCAGCACAAGCAGCAGCAAAGGAAACTGTCGGGGAAGGCGGAGAGAGGCTTATAGACAACAGTGGTGAGCTGCTGCTGCTGCTGCTGCCGTTGCTGCTGTTGCTGCTGCTGCTGCCGTTGCTGCTGCTGCTGCTGCTGCTGCTGCTGCTATTGCGTGAGTAGATTTCGAACCGCCGATATCCATACAAAGTCTGCATATTAGAACTTAGCAGCTTGCACACTAGCTTTTAGGGTTTAGGGTTTAGGGTTTAGGGTTTCAAGGCGAGGGTCTAGGGTTTAGGGTTTAGGGTTTAGGGTTTACAGTGGTGGTCCATTCTAACGATGCATCTCTTGCAGCCGGAGCAGTGGTGAGCCCTCAAGGGTTTAGGGTTTTCGCAGTAGCGGCAAATGGGGACAGAAGGGTCTCTAAACCCTAAACCCCCAAACCCTAAACCCTCAAACCCTAAACCCTCCTCCAGGCTGTACGGGTCTCCCGCTGCTGAAGTCCCTGGCGCAGCCTTCGTCCCTGAACAAACCCTAAACCCTAAACCCTAAACCCTAAACCCTAAACCCTAAACCCTAAACCCCTGCGCCTTCATTTTCAAGAAAAAGCCCTCACTGAGCCTACCAGCCCGTCTGCGAAAACCCTAAACCCCAAACCCTAAACCCTAAACCCTAAACCCTAAACCCTAAACCCACCGAAAAAGTTCTTAAGGGCTCTAAGCGGGCAACAAAGAAAGCCACGCAGGCACCTAAAGGCCCCGCAGGGGCCCCCAGGGGGCCCCCCAGGGGGGCCCCCAGGGGGGCCCCCAGGGGGGCCCCCAGGGGGGCCCCCAGGGGGGCCCCCAGGGGGGGCCCCCCGGGGGTTTGTAGCTCGTTGTGTTTGGGAAGAAGGTGGGGTTGTTGTGATTGGAGTTTGGGGACAGCCCCGGGGTCTCCTAAAGAGCACTTTAAGTGGGAAAGAAAAGCTAAAAGGAAAAAAAAGTTAAAGAGAAATACCAACAACAGGCGGGGGGCCCCCAGGGAGTGCCTGTGGGGAGAGAGGCAAATAATAATAAATAAATAAATAAATAAATAAATAAATAAATAAATAATAAATAAATAAATAATAAATAATTGTATGATTAATTAGTTAATTAATTGTTTAATAATAATTAATTAATTAATTGTTTAATATTAATTAATTAATTAATTAATTGTTTAATAATAATTAATTAATTAATTAATTAATTAATTAATAATGAATAAATAAATAAATGGAGAATAAATAAGTGACAGCAGCAGACGGGAAAATAAAAAGAAGCAAACAAATCAAAGAATAAAAGGTAAAAATAAATTTAAAATACATAAATAAATAAATACAAATAAGTAAATAAATATAAATAAATAAATAAAAATAAATAAATAAATAAATATAAATAAATAAATAAATGAAAATAAATAAATGAAAATAAATAATGAGTGCTGCTGCTGTGGTCTTGGTTGAGGTGTACGTACACCTGAAGGCCTACCAATTGAGGAGACAAGAAGTTATGGTGTAACTGGAAAACAGCAGCAGCAAATGAGTCTGAGTGCAGCAGCAGCAGCAGCAGCAGCAGCAGCAGCAGCAGATGCAGCAGCAGCAGATGCAGAAGCAGGGGCTGCTGCGCCGGAAATCGCAGCAGCAAGGGGAAGCGGGCTGCAGCAGCAGCAACAGCAGCAGCAACAGAAGCAGCAACAGCAGCAGCAACAGAGACGCAGAAGCAGCAGCAGCAGACACACAGAAGCAGCAGCAGCAGACACGCAGAAGCAGCAGCAACAGAGAAGCAGAAGCAGCAGCAACAGCAGCAGCAACAGCAGCAGCAACAGCAGCAGCAACAGCAGCAGCACATCCACTGGCAGCAGCAGCCCATCCAGCAGCAGCAGCAGCACATCTGACAGCAGCGCCGTCAGCAGC